CCCCAAAACCCCAAAACCCCAAAACCCCAATAAAACTCAGATTACTCTTTTATTTTATTTCATTAAGATGGAGGTAAGCAACTCAAATATTTGGTTTCTTTTGTATTTAGCTTTCTTTACTTCCCAATCAGCTTTATTTACAAAAAAATAAAGAAAATTCTAGCATAATTCTATAGCATAAACAACAAGAAATGGACAATAAAAGTGAGGCTACTTCTGTAGACTTAGGAAATTTATGGGAAGATATCACTATCTTTGCTGGGCATGCAGACCCATATGTACAAGCTAGCACATCAGTAAGCTATAGAACCAAACTATTTTAGCCAAACGTCTCCAATCATGAAGGAAATGTACATACTTATTTCTAAAATATCAGATACACAAATAAATTCATTGATGAAATAAAAATATTACAGACTAAAGTAACTGAGCTAGAAAAGAAATATGCAGAGGAAAAGAAGAGGAATGAATTACTTCAGGATAAAGTCAAAGTAAGTCTTCTGATAAAACTCTTAGTCAATGAAACAAGGCCTTTACAGAGAAGAAACTCATATCAGAGCAAGAGTGAAGCAGGAAGTGGCTGATAATTTTCAGTACAAAATACAGCTAAGTAATATGAAATGGCAAGAAGAAATGGAATTCCTCAAAGATAAAGCATTTGAGCTTAATAAGCAGATCATGCTCAAAGACAAAGCTTGTCTAGCTGTTTCAAAGTCAAATATTGAACAAGAGATTATCATTGCCAATGCTAATAAGTTTCTTGTCCAAAGCAGTACAGGAGAGCTAAACCTTGAGAAGGTTTTGTAAGCCTGCTTGCTTCAAACATAGGCCAATTCCTTTATGATTTCATGAAATGGATAAAAATAAGAGAGGAAAGAAAAAGAGTAAGCTTTTTTCACCTGTAGAATGCCCTTATTTTGAGAAATCCCAAGATTTGTGAATATCGAATGAAGAGCTTCAGAAAAGTAACAAATATTTAACCCAAGAGTTCTATGATTTGAAGTCATTATATGAATCAATGACTGAAGAACTATCAGAATCAATGAATAAAGGAAAACAACTTGAGGAAGAAATTGAACTTCTTCACATAAATTATGATCACAAGATTAATAATGTCAAAAGTAGTATCAATAAGGCAGAAATAATGCTTCGAAAAGAGAATGCTCAACTTAGACGCAAATATGAAACTCTGAAGAATGAATTTGGCAGAGAACTTAAGATTAAAGATTTATTAATACAGAGGCACATTGAGTACCAAAATATCCTGAAGAAAGAACTTATCATGGCTAAAAATATTTTAAAAGATCCTATTTTGACAAAGAAGGCAGAAAGGGAGCTAAATTACTCAGAGACTGCTATCTACCCATTGAAAGATTTAAATAGAATGATACAAAATAAATCAACAGAGCCAAGAAGCTTTAGAAAAATTGAATCATGCATTCCTCAAATAGATGACAGTTTTAATTTGAAGAAGTATAGTCTCACTCCAAAGGAGGCACAAAAATTTAAGAATAAATCTGTTGTATCCACAAACTGTATTTTTAAGCCACAAAAGAGTGCAATTGCAAAGAAGATGCTGAGAAGTAACTATAAAGTAAGCTTATCCCAATTCTTATTCACCACATACAGCTTCTCCAATTAAACCCAAGCTTTGCTGAGAGTAAGCTGGCTGAGAATAACAGAACTATTTCTTTAAGGAAGGAGGAACCTAACTTAGTGTTCTGAGATACAAAACTTAAGATACCAAAGTTGGTAAATATAAAGTAAGATAGTCTTCATAAAGTCTAGCACAACTCTAAGCAGTGAAAGAATGAACTCTATTTCTTTGTTCAGGAATGGGAATAGTAACTTCTTTACTCAATCAAATGATGGTTAAGCTCAATTCTTTAGGGATATTTTGGGGTTTTGGGGTTTTGGGGTTTTGGGG